ATAACAATGTTGGAAGGGACCTTGGAGGTCTTCTAGTCCAACCCCTTGCTCAAGCAGGAGAACCTATATCATTCCAGAAAAAATGGTTGTCCATTCTCTTCTTAAAAACCTCCAGTGATGGAGCAGCCACGACTTCTAAAAGCACTTGATTAATTGTTTAACTGTCAGGAAATTCCTCCTTAGTTCTAAGTTGCTTCTCTCCTTGATTAGTGTCCATCCGTTGCTTCTTGTCCTGTTTTCATGTGTTTTGGAGAATAGCTTGACTCCCTTTTCTTTGGGGCAGCCCCTGAGATATTGGAAGACTGCTATCATGTCTCCCCTAGTCCTTCTTTTCATTAGACGACTAGACATACCCAGTTCCTGCAACCGTTCTTCATACAGTATGTTTTAGCCTCCAGTCCCCTCATCACCCTTGCTAGTCTTCTCAAACACTTGCCTTTTTTGGCTATTTATTACCTGTGATATTGGTCCGTGACTATAACACAGGAGTTCCAAATATTCGGAATATTCTGTCTATCCACCCACCCACCCAATCCCTTACTCAGGAGATACAAATGGCCCCGTTTCTGCTTTCATTTTGCAAACATCTGAAAAACCCGCCATATCTTAGTTTGTTTTGGGCCCTTCGTTGTTTCTTTGTGCATTGTCATATTTTAAACTTTATGGGATTATTGTATTTTATGTTTTATTTCTATTGCTCCCCCCCTCTCCCCGCAATCCTTCCTCCACGGTCCATTAGGCTCGGGCAGAATATTAATTTTGGAAATAAATAAAAGAATGGGATATGAACATGACATGATTCACTGCTTGAAGTGACAATCCAGCGGGATTTATTCTTCAAAACACAGCTGCTTTTATTAAAAATGATTGTGCGGCCAACTTTTCCCACAAGCATCATTTTAGTATGATAAATTTCAGGTTGAACAGCTGAAAAATGACCATTTTTGTCTTTGTAAACACAAATACATATCCAGGGATAAGAAATCATCCATATATTGGTAAGAATAATAAAACACGGGGTGTTCTAGGTTTCGTTTTTATAGGATAACAAGTAATCCTCGATTTATGGCCACAATGGAGCCCAAAATTTACATTACTAAGCGAGACAATTGTTAAATGAATTTTGCCTTGTATTACACCCTTCCTTGCCACGGTTGTTAAGTGAATCTGGCTTCCCCATGGATTTTGTTTGTCAGAAGGTCGCAAAAATTGATCACATGACCCCGGAACACTGCAACTGTCATAAATATGAGTCAGCTGCCAAGCATCTGAATTTTGATTCATGTGACTGTGGGGATGCTGCAACAGTCGTAAGTATGAAAAATGGTCATAATTACTTTTTTGAGTGCCATTGTAACTCCAAACATTCATTAAACAAAGTGTTGTAAGTTGAGGACTACCTGTTACATAATACAGGGTGTTTTTGGTTTCGTCTTTATGGTTTACCCCTAGGTAGTGGCAGATTATTTCTCTCTCTGGATGCAAAGAGAAAAGATCTGCTGTGAACTCCACATAGGCCTCAGGAAGGGCATCTGGCCAGTAAACGCTCAGCTCCGATCATTCCACCCCGATGGAAGAGTTTACGGGATCGTTAAAAGAAAAAAATATTGAGTCTTTATGAAATGAGATGCGATTTATTATTTTTTTAAAGGGTGAGATTCGGAGGAAGAAAGACAATTTGGTTGGCAGCTTAGAGAAAACATATCCTGGCCCTTTTTAAAAGACAACCCCGGGAAAAAATCAGTGTGAAAATGAATAGGGAGAAACTGGTTGGTTTGGCCGCTGTTATTCTCCGCCGTCGCCTGATCCATCCATTCCACAATCACAGGAGAAGTCCACCTGAAAATTTCCAACATCAAACCCATCGGATGTTTGACTTGATTTCTTGAGTACCTGCTGGGGCATCGACAGGTTACGTCGTAGCCCCCCCCCCCAAATCAAGATGGCAGCTGCAATGGGGACAACCGAAATGCTGCTCCTGCTTTATGGGCATCGCATATGGGAAGCATGTGAAAAACTGGATGGGGCTTCTATGACACCGCTGAGGCTGCCATTTTGACTTTTCTGACCACAGCCGAGGAGTATATGATTTAATTTCTCATGGTGGAAGGATGCACATTGTCTGAAAATCAGCACAGTTCACTTATGTTGCAAGATCTAGAAGTGCTTTTCATGAAGGTTATGAAGATCAGTTTGATGCAGTGGTGAGGTGGCTAGCTTAGAAACCAGGAGACGGTGAGTTCTAGTCCCATTTTAGGCATGAAAGCCAACTGGGTGACTTTGGGACAATCACCAGGAGACTGTGA